CCCGAAACTCTTCCTAAAATAATCACCCAACCCCACTATTACCCAATCCCTCTTCTAATACTTCAAATTCTACAGCTTCTGAGTTATTAACACAACAGTTGGCAGCCATAATGGCTAAACTTAATTCATTGGATGAAGACATGGTAACGTTGAAGCAGCAACGAGATTTTCCAGAGCCGAAGGGAAGCCAAAACTCTGGTGGCAAACAAGTTTGTGAGGACATGGAAAATGATGAACAAGATGCGCCCTGGTGGAATAAAAATCCCAACCGAAGACCACACTCTAAGACAGAAAAATATTTTTGTTATTACCAAACTCCTGATGATTTAAAAGTTGATGTAGCGGCCATGAATTTTGAAGGTGATGCTTTAGATGTTTTCACTTGGGTTGCTTTAGGAAGAACCATTCATGATTGGGAGGAATTAATTCAAATAATGCAGGAGCATTTTGGTCCGACTAAATTTCAAAACCCAGATGTCTATTTATGTAGTATACGGCAAACAGGGTCTGTCTCAGAATATCAACAAGAATTTGTGAGGAGATCTTCGTGAGTTTGTGGGTGGCCTGAGCATTGCTTGTTAGCAGTTTTTATCAATGGGTTAAAAGAGGAACTTCAATCGGATGTTAAAATCCAGAAACCACGAATAGTTTACAAGGCCGCTAGTTTAGCATTGGAGTTTGAGGCAAAACTGTTGAACCAGAATACGCGTCATTATGGTTAGCGTTCTAACATAACACGTGTTGCTGTTGATAATTATTGTTCTCGTGAAACTAAAAATTATAATTCATATGGGCAGTTTTCGAGTTCAGTTACCGGCAATTCTCATGCAACTTCTAATAACTCCACCCATTCAAGAGCAATTACCTTTACTTCCTTCTAACTTATCGCAAATTTCAAACACCGAAAAACAAATTAAAAGGGATGAAGGTTTGTGTTATAAATGTGGTGAGAAGTTCTCTCTAGGGCACCGTTACAATTCTTCTTCTCTTAAACTTATGGAGATCAATGAAGAGCCGGAAGAAGTTTGTACTGAGAACATCAAACCTATGGCTACTATAGAGAGCAGGTTTGCAGAAATTTCACTTCAAGCCATTCTGGGCAGTTCGTCTACAACTACGATGAAAGTAAAAGGGATTTTGGGCAATCGTCAAGTGTTGATTCTCACTGATAGTGGGTCAACACATAACTTTGTTTCAAAGTCCCTTGTAACAAAGCTGCATCTTCCTACACAGCCAACCCCTGCTTTTGGAGTTCAAATAGGAGATGATAGGCAAGTTGCATCTCATTCTATTTGTCGGGGGCTCCAGGTACAGATACACACCCTTACCGTTAAGGATGACTTTTTCCCTTTCACTCTTGGTGGTGTAGACATGGTGCTGGGTATTAAGTGGTTAGCTTCTCTTAATACAGTAGAAGCTAATTGGCAGAAGATGTATGTGATATTTTGGTTGGATGGGAAGCGTTACAACCTTCAAGGAGTCCCTAAGGATAAAACGAAAGCTTCTTTGCAGAGCTTTTCTTGTGAGGGAACTAATTCTTTCATTACTCAAAACTTACAAAGACTGTTACATTCCTTTTCTTCGATTTTTGATGAACCCAAGCATCTACCTCCATTACGTGAACATAGTCATGGTATACCCTTGTATCATGGGTCTGTTCCTCCCAATATTAGGCCATACAGATATCCCCATTCACAAAAAGATGAGATTGAGAAGCAGGTTGCTGAATTGTTGCAAAAAGGCTTTATACAACCTAGTGTGAGCTCTTTTGCTAGTCCTGTGTTGCTAGTTCCCAAAAAAGATCCAACTTGGCATTTTTGTGTGACTACCAGGAACTCAACAAAATCACAATCCTAGATAAGTACCCAATACCAAATATAGATGAACTCATTGATGAATTTCATGGGGCTTCTTTCTTTTCTAAAATTGATCTTTGTTCTGGTTACCACCAAATTAAAGTAGTGCCAAAAGATATTCCCAAAACTACTTTTAGAACCCATTCAGGTCACTACGAGTTTACTGCCATGCCTTTTGGTTTTACAAATGCCCCTTCTACTTTTCAAGCTGCTATGAATGATCTGTTTAGACCACATCTAAGGAAATTTCTTGTTGTTTTCTTTGATGACATTTTAGTCTATAGCAGCAACCATCAAGAGCATTTAACTCATCTACATATTATGTTCCAAATTTTGTCCCAACATGAGTTCTTTGCTAATCCAAAAAAATGCCTCTTTGCACAAACAGAAATTTCCTTTTTGGGTCACATAATTTCCCAAGCAGGTGTTGCGGTGGATCCTGACAAGATAACTTCAGTTATAAACTGGCCTCAACCTTCTAATCTCACTAAACTTAGAGGATTCCTGGGTCTTACAGGGTACTATAGATGTTTTATTCGTCAATATGGTCAGATAGCTAAGCTACTTACTAATATGACAAAGAAAGATGCTTTCCAATGGAGTGCAGCTTCAATGATCGCTTTCAATGACTTGAAGCAAGCTTTAATTAATGCTCTAGTGTTACAACTGCCTGATTTTTCAAAAATGTTTATTGTTGAATGTGATGCATCATCCACTGGGATTAGTGCCATTTTGCAGCAAGAAGGTCATCCTATAGCTTTTTTCAGTAAAGGGCTATCTTTTTCAAACAGGCATAAATCTGCTTATAACAGGGAGTTGCTTGCTTTAGTTTCTGCATTCGAAAAATGGCGACATTATCCACTGGGGCATCATTTCAGGTTCATATTGATCATTTCAGCCTTAAATATCTCCTGGAGCAACATGTTACTACAACAGAACAACAACGTTTATTAATGAAACTTCTTCCCTTTGAGTTTCACATAGTGCATAAATCTGGTTCTTCAAATTCTTAGAGCCGATGCTTTGTCTAGGCGTCCAATATCAGCTAAACTCTGTTTTAGCTATTCCTCATGCCTCTGATTTGGACAATCTTCCAGTTTTATTGTAGAATGACCATTATACAGCATCCATAATTTCATCTCTTCAATTTGATTCCAAATCAGTTCCAAACCTTACTTCGGTAGCTGATAAGTTGTACTTCAAAAATCATTTGGTTATTCCAGCTCCTTTAGATTTATCTTCTAAGTTGATTTCTGAAGCACATTCTTCATTCACTTGTGGTCATGGTGGTGCGCTCAAGACTTTGAAAAGATTGCAGCAACATTTCTTTTGGCGCAATATGAAGGAGGAAGTTAGATCTTTTGTTCAAAATTGCTTGACATGCCAACAAAGCAAATATGTGCCTCAATCTCCTGCAGGTTTGTTACAACCTTTGGGTATTCTTGAAAACATATGGGAAGATATTTCTATTGACTTCATGCCTAGCCTACCAAAATCTAATAACTGGGAAGCTATTTTAGTGGTGGTGGATAGCCTCAGTAAATATGCTCACTTCATCGGTTTACCTCGACATTACACTGCTAAAGCTGTTACTGCAAAATTCTGTCAGGAAGTGGTTAGCTTACATGGTTTTCCCTAGTCAATCATTTCTGACCGTGACACTATCTTCTTGAGTGCTTTTTGGCAAGAACTATTTCGACTTAGCGGCACACAATTGAAGATGAATACTACTTACCCTCCTCAAACAGTTGGTCAAACTGAAGTTGTAAATAGGTGTCTTGAAACCTTTCTGAGATGTTTTTCCCAGGATCATCCCAGAGTTTGGAGTCAGTTTCTTCCATGGGCTGAATTGTCCTACAACACTGGGTATCACACTTCTTTCGGATGTACTCCATTCAAAAATGGTTAATGGTAGGGACCGTCCAACTCTCTTACCAAGGGCGATAAAAGGATTGCGGACTTGGGTGATTTCCTTGAAGAAAGAGATGCTATTCTGACAACTATTAAAGACAACTTGTCTTTTGCTCAGACTCGAATGAAAGCTTATGCTGATTCTAAAAGGCGAGAACTTAACTTCCAACCTGGTGATTTGGTTTTCCTTAAAATTCAGCCTTACAAACAACGCTCTCTTGCCAAGCACAAATTTGAAAAGTTATCTTCCCGCTTTTGTGGCTCATATCCCATTGTTAGAAAAATTGGTGCAGTAGCTTACGAGTTACGACTTCTTGATAATGCTCGAGTACATCCAGCCTTCCACGTTTCCTTATTGAAACCTGCCCATGGTTGTTCTTCCAACATTGTTTTACCGCCTCTGCCTATTAATGCTGATTGGGAGTTTCAACTTGAACCTAAAAAAATCCTTGATTCCCGCCTTTCTGATGCCTGCAACTCTAACTGTCCGGAAACAAAAACTGATGAGCTTCTGGTGCAACGGAAGGACCGTGCCCCTGAGGAAGCTAGCAAGGAGTCATATGACTTCATTGCCAACCAGTTCCCCTCCTTTCGCCTTGAGGACAAGGCTTCTTTCCCAGGGGGGGTAATGATAGAGACCAACATCCTCTCTTGGTCCATGCTAAGAGGAACGACTGAAAGGAAGCTTAAGGAAGTCTTCTATCTGTTTGTGTCAGTTATTTATGTCATTTATTTTCAGCTTGTCAGTTGTTCATGTCAGTTATTTTCAACTATTTGACAGACCTATATAAACTTGTTATGTATGAAGTTATGGCTGGCAATATTATGAATTATTTAGATAACTCCTCGTCTTTCCCTTAGGATTACAGATTTTGGTCCTAAGTCTTCTTCTCTCCTTGTTCTTTTCTATTCTACTCTTACTCTACTTTCAAGATTTATCACAATCTCCTAGGATCACGACAAATTTGATTCTGTTATTTGAATTTTGAGTTTATTTTTTTTCCTGATTCTCCTTTGATTATGTAATCAGCGACTGATCCTAGAATCTTCTAATACCCTAGGATTATTCCCATAAGAATTGTACTTAGTAAATCGAATAGAATAACCTTTCCTGGCATCAAATTATTCACCATATGTAACATTGTGAAAGAAGTTATCATCAAGAGCTTTGTTTAATTTCTTTCAGGACACATTAATTGAGAAAAGCAAAAGAAGAAATCAAAGATCTGCTACCTCATTAGGCAAAATATTCAAGAATGATATGAGTTCTGCGGGGTGGTCCTCTCCATCTCCCCCTCCTCGAACTTTTCCAGGAGTTGCATCCAAAACCCAGACCTTGAAATAGCATATAAGAAATAAGACACAACTTAGTGTCACTGATACATGAATACAAACAAACAAACACGAGAGAAGACATAACTATAAAAGCAATCTTTAACTTCCATTCACCCTTCCCTATTCAAAGCCAATGAAAACCCACACAACTTCTAGGTCTTGCAAACTAAGCGATTTGAAAATATAACCCACCAGTCAAGAAAATATTATTCTCTGACACATACACAATATCTCATTAGATATACAGCCAAAAGAAATAGCTAGAAATTTATCACAACATAGGATTTATCTCAAACAATAACCTTGATTTCAGGGGCTTGGAGCTGCACAAAAAATCTTTACTTAATGTTTTTATTGTCTTACACACTACTAAGAATTGAATCCCATCAAGGAATTTGTTCTAAAATCATCTTGTCATAATAGGAACTTTGCCCTCTCACTCCCCTTAAGATCTGAAGCCGTCTTTTGTACATTATAAATATACCATGAGGTGCTAGGATGATCAAAGGGAGATCTTTCCTTCCTAAGGTCCCTCATGTTACCTCTCCATATCCTTGTCAAATTATGTAGAGACCACTTAGAGGGAGAAAACATACTCTGAACAATAAATAAACAATCATAATGCAAAGGGGAAAAAAGACAGTTTAAACTTACTCTAACTGGACGAGCAAGAGGCTTTGCAGCTTGATCCACCATGCTCAAGACAACTGGGGAAATAGAGCAATCATGTAATATAACTCACAAGGACAACTATTCAGAATAATATATATGTTCTAAACGACACCACTAGAATCAAACTAAATTTAAAAGAAACAAAGTAAAAACAAAAACCTTTTCCTCCGAAACTATGACCAACCAACACACGAGGCGTTATCCTTAGCTCTCGAACCTAGAGAAAAGAAAAGGAAGGATGCTAACACATGAAGTGAAAATAAAATTTATACCCATAACTTAGATCTACTCAACTATCCTAAAACAGAACATATTGACTGCAAGAAATTTTTTGTGCATTGCAATAAAGTTTGTGTTATTACAAACTATTAAATCAGATGGAATGTTTTGAATAAAACACTCTTAAACAATTAAATTCCCCACTACTGAAATCACTAGCCAGTTCATTGTCAACAGACCGTTGAATTATAAAATTTTATCCCACTAGGTAGGTAGAGTCAGCCATTGAATAATACCAGTAACTAATTGTTCTGTTAAGCAAAACAAAATGGAACGAAAAAAAATAACCAAAAGGCGTACAACAGTAGGGGCCAAGTCCCAAAGGGCAAACTGCAACAACTCTTGGGTTCCCCCCGCCAGGTCCCTCAAAATTAGATGTAGAGTAGGTAAAACCCCATATCGTGTAGCTTTTGAAGGTAACAACACAGGGTGATCGGGAAGAAATGGATGAATGAGAGATTCATGTAGTTTGAGCACACAATTTAAATCCAATAAAGTGCACAAGATATTTAGGTGCAACAATCAGCTAACGTACAAAATTTTAAAGGCATTAGCATGAAAACTAATTATGACAAATCGTGAAGAAAGCATACCAATTTCAAAACATCAAGAGCAGCAGAGGCAACAGTATGAGGACCCCTTTTTTTTATTGATGCTGAATTGCCATGACATCGCAGGTCCACTAAAAGAAACTGTCAATAAAAACAAAACAAGCATAGAAGATAGAGATAGTTGTAAATCAAATGCCCCGTCTAACTACGATGTTGGAAATAGATTCTATTTCCCTTGCAAAAAAATCAAATTATGCACAAGGGAAATTTCTCACTTGCAAAATCATTTTTTCCCATTTTATTCCCTTTATTATTCTATCTTATTCTACATAACAAAAAGGTAATAAGTATTCTAACATCTTATTCCACAGCAACAAATATGAAAATAAATAATTCAAAATGTGTCATACAAAGTCCATAAATCAATGTCTAGTATTGTCTGGAATAATTAATAAACTAAAGCCCAAATAATTCATAGCATAAAAACATGTGGAAGAATACCTGCCACATTGGAAATTCTCGAGACAATCTTTGAGCAAAAGTTCCTGCAATATCATACTTTTTAGAAGTGCATTTGCAAACTAGCAAGCTCATTCATTTCAAAAATTTACATCTCTCATTGGACTCTTCTGTTTCTAAACTCTGCTTACTGTCAAAATCCTATTTAATGATACTTAATGTTTCATATTAAGAGTAGGGAGATTGATTAGAGAGAAAAAAATTCGATGTATTCTCTGAAGGGATTTTATACCATTATATACACTAATTCAGCAAGATAAAAGGAAAGGGAATAAATATGATATAACGGTGAAGAATCAATCAATAAAAGAATCAAATAAAATCAGATCAATGATTCCTTAAAATAGGGAGTTAATTTCCGAATTTTCACACTCCCCCTTAACTTGAATCATAGATACTAATCAAATTCAACTTGCCCACAAAATCTTCAAATTTCTCTCTGTGTAAGCCTTTTGTAAAGATATATGCTATTCGTCTCCATATAGGTACATGTATGAGGGTTACCAACCTGTTGTCAATCTTTTCTTTAATGAAATGTCTATCCACTTCAATATGTTTGGTTTTGTCATGTTGTACTGGATTGTGGGACAAGTTTATGGCAGCCATACTATCTGTGAATAGTTTCATAAGGAACTCCATTTCATCGTAAGTTCCTCTAGGACCCCTTTTATCCAAATTATCTCACATATCCCTTGTGCTATGGCTTGGTATTCTGACTCTGCACTGCTCCGTGATACTACTTTCTGTTTCTTGTTTCTCCAGGTAACTAGGTTTCCCTAGACATAGGTACAATAGCCTGCTGTGGATCTTTTATTGTCATGAGCACCTATATAGTCAGCATCAGTGAATATCTCAACACTTTGCTCTTAGCATTTTTTTGTACAATATTCCTCTACCTACTGTGCCCTTTACCTATTTTAGGATTTTGTAGACTGCTTTGAGGTGCTTTTCCTTTGGAACATGTGAGTGTTGGCTGGCTACATTGACCACAAATGCAATGTCTGGTCTTGTGTGAGAGAGACAAATAAACTTTCCCACTAATCTTTGGTACTAGCCTATATCAGCATTGCTCCCTTCATTTTCTTCTTCTTCACCTCCTTCATCACCGTCATCGGCTTCTTACTTGCTCTTGGATTCATCCTTCTTTTTCTTCTTTCTCTTGGTTGTGACTTCAATAAAGGCAGAGCTGGGTTTACATCCCAACATGCCAGTTTCTTTGAGTAGGTCCAGTATATACTTGCATTAAGATAGGTTCCCTTTTTTTGATCAAGTTACCTCCATTTCTAGGAAGTATTTCATCTCTCCCAAGTCTTTCACCTGGAATTCTTGTGCCATGACCACTTTTATCCTCTCAATTTCTTCTGAGTCATCTCCAGTGAGGACTATATCATCCACGTACACACACTTAATAGTTTTCTTTTCCTGTCTGTGTTTGAAAAAGAGGGTATGATCACTTTGCCCTGGTACGTACCCCTCTTTTCTTAGGACCTAAATGAATCATTCAAACCATGCACGTGGTGATTGCTTCAGGCCATATAAGAACTTCTTCAACTTGCACACTATGTTAGGTTGTTTGTTTGGGAGACCTGGCGAAGCTGTCATATAAGCTTCTTCCTTAAGATCACCATTTAGAAATGCATTTTTGACGTCTAACTGGTAGATAGGCCAGTCTAAGTTTGTTGCAAGTGACATCAAGATTCTAACGGTGTTTAATTTTGCAACTAGTGTGAATGTCTCGGTGCAATCTGTACCATAGATTTTGAGAAACCTTTTGCCACAAGTCTTGCCTTGAATTTCTCAACGATTCTGTCAGCCTTGTATTTTACTGTAAATACCCATTTGCACCCCAGAGCTTTCTTTCCTTTAGGCAAGCCAACTTCCTCCCATGTACCGTTTTTCTTTAGTGCATCCATTTCTTCCAAGATAGCTTTTTTCCATTTTGGAGACATTAGTGTGTCTCCAATATTTGTTGGTATCTTGGTACCATCCAAGTTGCTGATAAATGCTCTATAATAGGTGATAGAGCAGTGTAGGAAATATAGTTTGCAATTGGGTGTTAAGTACAGCTTCTTGGCTTTTTTTCTCAAAGCAATTGGAAGATCTAGATCTATTCCTATCTTATCTGCATCATTTGCACCAGATTCATCAAATTCTTCACGCTCAGAAACTGCCAACGACTTAGATTCTTGGCGATGCTCAGGAATTTGAGGCCTATTGATTTTGGTCCGTCTGCTGTAAAATTTGTTGATGGTTTTATTATTCTTTATTTTGTTTTGAATTTGTTGCTCCCCCTCAGTTTGAGTCTATCTCTCACTTTCTTTGGGTTGTGCCTCAGTTTCAAGGGTTTCAAGGGAAAGAGGAGGTTTATATTCCAAGTAAGGTTGGATAGGACCTATGTCCTCTTCTATAGACTGCAGTTCTTTCACACTCTCCCCCTAAATTATGGTCGGATAGAAAGATTTGATTTCATGGAAAGTAACATCACAGGTGACAAATAATTGTTTGTTGCTAGGGTTATAGCATTTGTAGCCCTTATGAGTTGGCAGATAGCCTAGGAAAATGCACTTGACTGCCCATGGGTCTAGTTTGCCTTGGTTGTAAAGGTTAACAAACATAGTACAACCAAAGACCCTAAGAGGAAGGTAAGGGACATGATGGGTCTTTTGCAAGATTTCAAGAGGTGTTTGCAACGACAAGGGTCTACTCAGCATTCGATTGATAAGGAAAGTAGCTATAAGGATAGTGTCTCCCCAGAAGAATTTTGAGACATCATGTTTGAGGAGAAGAGTGCGTGCAACTTCCAGAATGTGTCAATTTTTTCTTTCTACAATACCATTTTGTTGAGGGGCATAAGGGTAAGAATTTTTGTGAATCATTCCATTTTGTTGAAGAAAACCGGCAAGGGTCTTGTTAATGTATCCAGTACCATTATATGTATGAAGGATTTTGATAGAAGTTGAAACGGGCTTTTAATCATTTGATAAAAATTTATAAAATTGGAAGAAACCTCTGTTTTGTCTTTCAACAAATAAGTCCAACACGCCCTAGAGTGATCGTCAATAAAAGTTATAAACCATTTGTGGTGAGTTCTATTAGGAACACGACTTGGTCTCTATAAATCACTGTGAATAGTTGAAAACGGAGAAAAAGATTGATAAGCATTTTGATGAAAAGCAGCGCGTTGATGCTTTGCAACTTCACAAATTTCGCAATGAACTCTAGAAACATCTTTATTTGAAAAACTCGAAGGGAACATTTGAACTAGATATTGAAAATTTAGGTTCCCAAGACGTTTATGCCATAAAAAAAGATCATTATCTATACGAAGAAAGACTTTATTGCACCTAACAGGTTTTACAGTGGCTTTATCGAAATAGTAAAGGCCATCAAGCTCTTTAGCATAGCCAATCATCCTCTTTGTTGATAGGCCCTGAAACAAGAAGTAGGTATCACAAAGATCAGCATGACATTTTTCTATTTTGGTGAGTTTGTGTATAGACAATAGGTTGCATTTAAGATTTGGGACATGTAAAACCGCACAAAGGGTGATGTAATCTGAAATTTTAGTACTTCCCATACCAACCATAGGGGACATAGAAGCATGAGCAATTTTTACTTTTAGAGACCCATCACAAGGAATATAGGTATTAAATAAGGCACGATTATCAATTATATAGTCAGAAGCACCAAAGTCAATTATCCAACATCTACCTAACCACAGACTTTGAACATTCAAAGGGTGCATAAAGTTACCTTTATGGACGACTGTGGCAGAGGGTTGGCTACGTGCTACCAGTTTAGAGGGTTGGAGATTAGAGAGTATCTCTACCAACTTTGAGAGTTCATTAGAAATATTTGAGGATGATGATGCCTTCTCCCCTCTTTTTTCAGTAATGTAGCCACGGCCTCTGCCCTCTTCTAGTTTCCCATAGATATCCTAGCGACGTCTTTTGCATGGCCTATTTTCTTACAATGCTCACAGACTGGTTTAGTTTTCTGACCTCTTAGGTCAGCATCACAAGAAACAAGGGCAAAAGATTCAAAATTAGTGTTGGAGTTCTCCGGGAAAGATTATAACATAACCTTTCAATGAGTCCTCCCTTTTCCCTTCTCTAAAGGCCTCCTGAACAGTAGGTAGAGGTATTCTGCTTAGAATGCATCCTCCGACTGCGTCTAAGTCTACATTGACTCCAACTAAGAATTCAAAAAGTCATTCTTTTTCCACCCTTTTTCTATACTGGGCTGCATCTTCAAAACATTTCCAAACTTCTTTACTTGGTGAGTCTAATTCCTGCCATAGAGCTCTCATATTTAGATAATAGTCATTTCGGCTCCCCATACCTTGTTTCATTTGCCAGAGTTTGGTTTTGATCTCAAAGAATTGTGTAGTGTTTTCCCCATCAGAGTATGCTTTGTGGACGGCTTCCCAGATTTCCTTTGCATTTGGCGGGAACATGAAGCTTCTTTTAACAGCGGGGTCATGTCATTAATCAACCACGATGCTACCAGTGAGTTTTCGGCTTTCTATGTACGTGCTGCTTGCGATTTCGAGGATGGGGGGCAAGGCGCACCTCCTATAAGGTAGCCCATCTTTCCTCTGCCTTCGACAACTAGTCACACAAATTGTGCCCACTCTCATTAGTTATCATCGGTGAGTTTTTCTAGGACGATCAAAACAGCATTCCCCTCCAATCCTGGGTTTGACGCCTAGATGTATGGGTTGGTCGGTCAACTCCATGGGCATTGCACTACAGGCACACTAAGAACAAGGTATTTGATTCTCCCCCTCCTGCTCTAATACCATGAGAGTAGAGAGATGGATTGAAGAGAAAAAATTTGATGTATTCACTAAAGGGATTTTACACCACCATATACACAAATTTAGCAAGATAAAGAGGAAAGGGAATAAATATGATACAACAATAAAGAATCAATCAATAAAAGAATCAAATAAAAGCATATCAATGGTCCTTAAAAGAGGCAGTAAATTTCAAGATCTTCATACACATTGGGCGCCACAAAAACGTTTCCACAACATACATCTAAAAGTTCCCAGATCCTTTGGTTAAAGAATTTAACCTAAATTCATGAACTCTGACATAGTGAGCTGATTTGACAAATCCCTTTCTTGAGTCCTGACCAGTACCAGGCATTTGGCCTTTCTTCTTCCTTTCTTCCATCTTTTCTTTTCTTCTTGGAGAATTTCATAATTTTTCGGTGTAAATAGTTCCAACATCACAATTTGTTGGGAAGTAGAAACCCATTAAGTGAAAGATTTCAGTTTCAGAGTCAAATTTCATAATTTATTGATCAGAAACCGATTAGAATTGGTGAAATAGGAAATGCACTAATTGGCAAAAATAGGAAATGATAGAGATCCTATGAAATGTTAATAAATTCACTTAAAAAATGCACTATGTTCAAAGCCTATAGTATATTTCATTGATTCCAGGTCTTCACAATCATAAAAGGCTCATCAATTACAAGCAAAACGTACCCCAGTTTTTCCTGCTACCTAGGATCCCATGCAAGAAAACAGCTGTTGGTGGATCAAGTAAAGGTCTGTCCATGGCAGAACTCCATGTCACCTACACACCGAAAAGTTTCTGTATCTTAGTCAAATGATTTGCCACAACATCCCCTTAGCAAAACATAATCAGAAAACACAGGTCTTTTTCTTTTACCAAGGTTCCATCCAAATTCAAGACAAAAAGCCAAAAAGAACAGATTAATGATGCTCATTGATATCCAACTTCTAACAATCGTTTCTCTAGTAGGCATCCTGGTATAAAGCCAATTCTTTTTAGCATAGATCCTGTAAAGTTTTTCTGAGATTTTTAGTATGCAACATTCATTATTGCAAAGGCACAGGCTACGCTTCATTTTTGGGACAGGATCACAACATACACAAACAGTACCCATCAGAGCCCTGGAACTAGTTTCTTGAACACCCCAAACTTCTTGATCCAACCAGAAATAGTAAAAGAGAACATATGCAACAGTACTGGGGTTACACTACTCAAAATTTTAGCTCTGAATCCCCTCCTTTCACTACTACGCAGCTTCCTATTTAAATTGTCCTGAAAATCAAGTTAGTGCTGCTGAAACTCAAATCACCCAGCCTAACAAAGCTGTAGCAACTTCCTGACCAAAGCATCTTGCACTAAGCAGTATACAAGGAAAGTTGGTTGTGCTAGTACCACGTACAAGAATTGAATTTAGAGTTGGGCTTTCTTCTGGGCCTGGAAAAAGTGGGATGGGTGGTTTGTATGGCATAAAAACCATAGGCCAGCAGGTGGAAACATTTACTAGATGCTCTCTCAGGAAGCATGAATAATATGGTCCCCATATTCAGCAGAAAAATTTCATCTTTTATGGCATGCTTTCCATTATAAAAATCACCATGGCACAAAAGTAGCTTTACCCTGCAGTCTGATGAACCACATCAAAGCTAGACAAAGACTTGTGACCAATTGCAGACACATCATACTAAAAGCAAACAAACCCAAGATAGCAATGGCCTCACCTAACTACTGAGGCCAACTGAAAATGACAATAATGAAAAAAAGCAGCCACTGAAGAGAAGAACCCAGTTGCTTTGGCTATTTATAAAATTTCTATTTTTATTTGAACTGAAAAAATTTAGTAAAATGTGGTGTTGGAATAGGATTTAATCGAAAAATATGAAGCACTAACACTCCATTAAAATAGCCAAATTCATGTCTGGCACATATACTCTTATTAGCCATGGCACAATACATCGCAATACTTCAAATTACAAGGCAACACTTCAAGAGTTGTTGTGTATTGTGTCCTTTTTGTGTTAGCATCCACACTTCCTAGGTAGAAAATATTTTCAGTAAAAGATTCTTAAACATGGAAACAAGAACCAAAAAATAGTTTTATATTGTGTTTTCACTCAAGATACAGGAAGCAAATTGTAATTATCTGAAAGATAGATGAAAGAAGGTTTATACGGAATAATTTTCCAATATTTCAAGAACATATTAAGCCATACATCAAAAGCACGAAGTGTCTAAAAGTAAATATGAAACTGAAAACTATTTGTAAAAGATTTTGAGAGTCAGGGAGAGAAAGTGAGAAGCATCTTCTCATGCACACCCTAGCTTCTTGCATTGCAGCCTAAGACCAATCAAACATGATACAGCTTCGTGCAACACTCAGAACTCAGGAGAATGTCAAAATGTATTGAATGAATACAACACATTTACTCTCTAGAAGGCAACAACTACTCCTAGATGCAATTCTGAACCAAGATACAGATAATACTTACGAGTTCTCCTTGAATCAGGTCATACGCCTACAAGGAAACAACAAATATTTCAGTTGACAGAAACAATAATACAAAACATATACATGTCCTCAACAGTATGTAAGATGTCCTAGTTCTAGCATCTGGCTACTCGGTATTTAAAAAAAAAAAAAAAAAAAAACTGTTGGCCTATTTTAGAACTAGAAAATTAAAAGAAATAAAAAAAATTAAAAAAAAAAAAGGGTGTGCTTGTATCTAAGCAGATATGAACTACGCATAACAATGCATGCATAGAGCAGTCAAATTACCAAGATACCAGAAGAAGTGCTGACTACATTGCTCCTGTGCACAGGTTTTTCATCCACTAATGCCATTGATATTTTCTGGCATTTGACAATGCTGCTAAAAGAGCTAGAAGCCAACTGACAGGCATTGAAATTATCATTCTACAGCAAAAACAAGGGAAAAAATCAGGGAGGTTATTAAAGAACTTCAGCACCACATATCTCAAGTGTTGCAATCTCCTTTTTTCCCCCCTTTTGGGTTAGAGTGTTGCAATCTCCTTTGGAAATTACCACATTGATGAGACCACCAATGAGCTCATCTTAAAGTCAGACAAAAATAGAAAGTAAATTCTTCTGCTCACAGATTGTTGTAATGGTAAACGAAATCAACTGAAACAAAATAATAACACACTGAAGAGGAAATGCCTATGCACCAAGTGATAAAATTTTTTAAAAATACTCCTCAATTTAATGTTACTGTCAGATTGCTCATGTAAACAGTTTCTATAGACCCAAATATATAAACAATGCTCATGCGATATGCTGCTTGGGCACAAAGCAACAGATGATATAATAAACCGCTTATCATAATAGTATTGCCAAAGTGTTTCTCAAATCATAGAAGGAAAATAGCTCCTTAGCATTGAGGCATACATCTTATTTTGAGATGAATCATAATATCTAGTATCATGGAAGTGTCTGGATCATAGGTTGCTCAAGTAAATGTATAACTTAATTTGACTGAACACCCACAGTATAGACTCTTCATTTCACAAGGCCTTGAACAATAAAAGCATAGCTCCAATAGTGATGCAAGCATGACTAGCAAATAACATAGACCAAAATATACGCCCAACATCTCCACACAAAACAACTCAAATCCAAAAGGCCACATCTACGAACTATTTATACAATCTCACCTGTTACTTTTTTTTATAACTCCAAGTTTACCCACATCCATCACTTTACAGAGAAGCAAAAACAACACAAGCAATAGCACAATTTAAACACATTCGTTAACATGGAAAATACCACCGTGACGCTAAAAATGAGACCACTTCACACCAATAAGAAATTCATAATTCATAAATTAATAATATGTCGTTTCTTAATATAAAAGTACCATGACCTCGCTGCAACTTTTTTCTCTATCAGAATTTTATAAGTAACAGTCTCATATACAAAATTAAGGAATATTTCATATGCTTCTTTGTTGGTCTGATTATTTCATGTGCTTCGGTTGTACAATTAAACTCAGGACTGACTGATGACATGTGAAAATAGCATTTTTCAGTCACATTATTCTTTTCCCCTTTTAAAAAATATATATTCCATTCCACGATAATTAATAATATTAATACTAAATACAATTAAAATGTGAGCGCAGAAACCTGAACTCTTACTGCTGTTTTGATTTCTTTCTTCAATTTTAGTTACGTCACTGCACAAAGTGTTTGTCGAACCTAAATTGTCATAACTATTTTCCTTGCTCAACAATTCGCCAAGTAATAGAATCGTATGATATAATGATACGATTCATATGAAAGGTCCTATATAGCAAATCAAGCTTTTCCACAATTTATAACAGAGGAGAGGAGTAATCATGGATACACATAACAACAGCCCCACGCCGGGGAATAAACAACAACAGCTTCAGCTACCACTGGAATGAAGGTTAAATGGAAACCATTAAAACAAAATGGATACAGAAAGTCATAAATAGAAGCAGGATATCCAACCAAATGAACACAGTCAACGCCACAAGTAAAACCGACAGTCACCAACGCAATAAAAACAAATCAACCAAAAAGAAAAAAGAAAAAGAATGAAAAACATAAGCATGAACAAGAAATGTACCTCCGGCAGCCGCCAAACCTTCGTATTCCTCCATAAATTCGGGACAGAATTCACCTTCTTTAATGAACCACTAACCGACCCCCCGCCGGTGCAGCACGGCGGACAATTCAGTACCGTCGACATTTCACAGAGAAATTCAGTAATTCACCGTCTCGATGGGGCACAATTGCAAGCGAAATTGAAAGGGAAGGAAAGAGAAGTGGGAGAATCAGATCAAAAGGAGGAAATCTCGAGAGAGAACGGAAACACCGAAAAGATTCGGTATCCCGAACCTCCCGTGGCGGTGAGTTAGAGAGACAGGAAGGAGGCTTCCTTTGTTCTAAACTCACAGCAATTCATTTGCAGGTGCTTTGTTCTTGCTTTTCAAACCTTCTTTGTGGCATCCAGAACGTCGACGGTAACAGTGAAAAAGACCTGTACCGTCCAGACTTAAAAGGATGTTTGGAAGCAAAAGTATTATTCCGCAAAACCGGACAAATTTCTCTACATATTTATTTAGTCTACTGTAAAAATATTTTGAAAATTATAGTTTTGATTCTATTCAAACACTTTTTAGGTCTCACTAACTTCAAACCACACGTTTTCCTTATAGGTTATTGGACCTGAACTTGGGAGTTGGGACCTCACACCGTCCAAGGGTCAATGACACGCAGTTTTATTGCTAGCTCTCCTCCTTAATATTAGTTAAATAAATTTAAATAAATTAAAAAAATTTATTAAATTAGTTATTTATAATAATTAAATATTATTTGTTCTAAAATATCTTTGTTAATTATAAATTAGCTAAAACTACTATTTGATTGAAATTTTAACATTTGTAACGTTATAAAAGCTATTTTGAAAAGAATGGATAAATATGAGAGAGAAAGTGAATTGGAGTCTTATATTTAGGACCAAATTAAAAGTCAAACCAATTCTCATATTAAGGACCATAAGTGATATTATTTATTACATTAATTTACATACTATCTTCTTCTTTTTTCAATTCAAAATCTATGTATTATCTTCAATGGACAATATAAGAGTTAATTAAAGACTTAACTTGTTACCTAAATATAAAATTTAATTCACTTTATTTTTAATATTTATCTATTTTACTCCCAAATAATCTCTATAGTGATTATATATATTAAGAATTTTCTATAAAGGTGTAATTCATATGCTCATAATTAAAATTTATTTATTGTGAATAGATAAATTAACTTCCTTAATATCAACAAATTTATGATCTAGCTTTTATATAAAAATCAAAAGCAGTATTAAAAATAGGATACATGGCAAATATTAATTCTGTATAAGGCTTTAGATTTAAATTTTGGTGAATATAAAAATTGTCATTAGGCGAATTTTTCTCAATTACACATGACAATACTCAAATTTAATGGTATTGAGGGTTGGTAATATTTGAGTCAAACTTGCCAACCTATAAATAATTGAGTCTTTTTAACCTTGTACTGTCAAACCCGCAATCTACAGTGAGTTGGCTTGCCAACTAGCAACCTAACCATCATTTATTTTTTTATTTTTCTTCAATTTTATTAATTATTATAACTATTTATATCTTATTCATCAAATTAAAAAAATGCCTATATCAGGTGCTTTCAATCAAGGATTTGAAGAAAAACAAAAATTTCATTATTTTTTTGATATTGTATAAGAAATAATATTAAAAACAGAAAATAAAAAAAAAAGTTGATAATTGTCAGCAAGTTGGTGGCAAGAGTTAGAGTTGGCTAAAAGGCAACCCGCTTGCGAATGAGCCTTTTTGGCCTATGCCTCATAAGTCCTACTCGTTGCAGGTCAACCCTAAACTGTGAGTTGGTCCGTATTACTATTCTTAATCAATAGAGGTATGAAAATAAAATTTAACCCAAAAAATTATAATAAAATATTTTATTCAACGTTATTATTAATTTTGTAAGTGTAAAAGTTTATTTTTAGTCCCTCTTGATTTTGTAAAGAGTTTCAATATCTTTAAACACTAATACACTTAACAAAAAAAAATGCTAATAGTAAAATTTTTAATAATGATAAAACATTATAATCAAAGACACGCATACACAGAAATATATCAGCACGAGTCTTGAGTGTAGGACTTTAGCCAAGTGTAGCAACTGATGTTGCTATTATGACAACTTGTCATTAAAAACTTGTCATTAAAAACAAGTAACTGGACTAATCAATGAATAAAAACCAGAAATCATATTTTTAATTTATTAAAGAATTCAATGTCATATATATAATTTTTTCATAAAATTTATACAAATTTGATCACGAAACAAGGTTCTAAATTATTTTACGAAAAAATTAATGGCAGGTGTCTTGTTCTCATTTCTCAAACCATTTTTGTTATTTTGTGGCAATTGGGAGATTGGTTAGAAGGGAAGACCCTCACCGTCCAAACGCCGAACGACCTTCCTTCTTTTCGGCTACTAAATATCCAGCAACTTTGGACCAAACAAATTTGGTTAAATTGAATTTTTAGGAAATTATCATAAAAATTTACTATAAATAAGTTAAAAAGTTTTCATAAGTCAAGTTTATATATATTTACAGATCAAACTTTCATATTTACAAGTTAATGCGCCCACGAATTAATTCTAAGTCCAATATAAAGAAGTAGATCCGGTCAGACTCCTTTCTCTCATTTTGTTTCTTAGGATTCTATTTCGTTCCTTTTTTTATCTTTGACTGAATAGTATCCCATTTCCACTATGAAATCAAGAAATAAACAGTTCAAATTTAATATTTTATAAAAATATCATTATAATATTTTATAGATTACTTATTTGGTCCTAAATATAATATTTGTTTTATAGTATAATTTACACTATAAAATAAGTCTTACATTTAAGACCCAAAGAATATTTTTTTATTATTTTTGTATGCTGTAGTTGTGAACCCCCAAATCAAATATTGATAATTTAAATTTATTTTTATGAAAAATTTACACTACAATTATTTTTATATACTACAATTTGCAGTCGTTAGTGAAGTAAAACTACTACAAAATTTCAGAAGTCACTCACTTCGCAACGGTTTTGTGGATGGTGACAGCATTTGTAGCGGTTTTCCAAAGAACTGCTACAAAGTGTTGAAATTTGTAGTTGTTGTCATCCAAACCACCACAAAGTGTCACGTTATACACTATCTTGGCTTTGTAGCTATTTGGGTGACAACCGCTACAAAATAAGACAGAAAACTAACATTTTGTAGCAATTTCTCTTCTTCTTTATCTCCCCTTCTTCAAGCTTCTCTCTTATTGAGAATTTTTTTTAATTTTCATCTAAATTTATATTGTTAATTATTACTTACATTTTATTAATATTGTCTTTTTTTTTTCCGTTTTAGTATTCCTTCTCTCTTGCATGGAAATGTTGAATATTTTCTATCCGTTTGCTACTCATCCTTCCCACATCTATATTTTCCAAATATTTTTAGCTTTCATAAATTAAATTTCATATCCCGTAATAACTATACTTCAATCTAACATTCTAAATCTTACAAAAATTTGGCTCTCACAAAATTTATTAAAATCCCACTTTATTATTATATAATACTACCTCTGATTCTTAATATAAAAGCTCATTTAATTTTATTTTGATTCTAAATATAAGATCCTAATCTACTTTATCTCTCATATTCACTCATTTTTTCCGAAAATAGTCATTATAATAATGATAGTTCTAACTAATGTACTTGATTAGCAAAGATATTTTGAGAAAAACAACACTTATTTATTATAAATAACTAACTTAACTAGTTTTCTTAATCTACTCAAATTAATTAACTAGATCTTATATTAAGGATAAGAGATAATACGTATATAATTAACTAAAATTCACTTTATTAAAATTTATATAATACATATGTAACTATATAATTAAATTCTAATTATATTAATTAAGTAAATATAATTTTTATTTTTTAATAGTAGAATGAACATTTGTGCACAAAAATGCCGCCAATTTTTTCACAATGGCACTAATTTTTTTAAAAAAATAAAAATTTTGTAGCCGTTATATAATAACCGCTACAAATTTTAATGCCATCACCAAATTTTTGGATCCCTGCCAAATCAAAATTTCACTCCATACATTAGTAGCAGTTCTTTAAACCACTATGAATTTTCAAATTTCATTTTCTACTAGAAAAGATTTTGCCCTATAATTAGTAGTGGTTATGTAATGACTACAAAATGTATGGGAACTTTCCCATCATGTTTGTAGCAATTTTTAAACTGCTACTAATGTCCACATGGTGTTCGTATCTGGTTTCACCATTTATAGTGGTCGTTGAAACCATTAAAAAAATAATAGTGGGTTTGGCTTTGTATGTAGCAGTTTTAAAAAACTGCTTCAAAATTATTTGCTTTAATAAGTGATAGAACCTAATCTTTATATGGTTTTCTCAAGTGTTTTATAATGTTTTGCAACAATTTTACCCTCATTATACGTGCATTTATATCCATTTGATTACATTGAGTCATGCATTGCATTTTGCTGTTTAAAGGGTAAAAAAGAGTCATTTTTCTCTTCTAAATTTTAATTGCCTTGATCTGTAATTAGTTGGTCTTTACAAAGCTCTTTGTTGTGATTTTCAGGCAATTGGAGAAGGACCCAAGAGTCATGATAGAGCATAGATGGAGTCAAAATGTTACAAGGACCAAAACACAAAAGTTGGGAGTATTCTGCCTCCCCAGGTCATGACATGAACTACTTAGGTCGCGACCTAGATGCCATTTTACTGAAACCACGTGTTTTGGACCTGAGTAAAGATGTGAGCTCTCTGTCTTCCCAGGTCGCGATAAGAAACCTCTCAGGTCGCGACCTGACCCCCTTGAGTCGCGACCTTACATTCCTGAGGTTGCAACCTAAGTGCGTTAAGTGAAGCTGTGCATTTTGGAATAGGTTTCTGAGCTTCTATACCTAAGGAGGACAGCCACCACACACAAAAAAAAAAAACTCTTCCATTCTGCAGATTTGCATAAGGTTGAGCCACTATCATCTCCTCTCAAGTCTCCATTGATCCTACACCTAAAAGTTCCATTTTTCTTCATCTCTTCATCATTTTCTGTATTTCTAAACCAATCATACCACTCCATACCCTTCTTCTCCATTTTTCCAACCTTATTTTTAGCTTTAACCATGGCTATTCTGTTAGGATTAAGGTTTTAATGATAATAAAGTGAGTAATTTGTGATTCAGCATGTTGATCGATCATCTGATCGATCAAGGTTTTATCGATAAGCTGGTAGATAATAACTCTGTTTAATTAAGTAAACTCAGCAGAAACTTTGATCGATAACGTGTTAGATAATGTATTGATCGATTATTTGATCGATCATTCTTAGTTGCATATGAAAATCTGGGATAAATTATCAATCACTTGATCGATAATCAG